AAAAAAAAAAAAAAAAAGCCTGAACTCAGAGTATACAGGTTATGGAGCTGGCCAAAGGGGCCTCTTCCTGCCAGTTCCATCCCCTTCACAGCAGCTGCCCCACCCCCGAGATTCCCTCCTGTTGGCCCCACCTGTCTCACTGGGCATCCTGGTGGCCCTTCTCTGGACAGTGGTCTGGACAGCGCTTCCTGTTTCCAAGTGGTTTCCCTCATGAAGTCCTTGGCCCACGGGGGCCGCACTGTCATCTGCACCATCCACCAGCCCAGTGCCAAGCTCTTTGAGATGTTTGACAAGGTGAGTGTCTCTGGACCTTGAAGAAGAGTGGTCTGAGATGGAGGGTCAGAAGGGAGTTGGGAGGGATACTAGAGGGGACCCTGCCTGCCCACTGGTTGTGTTTTTCTTTTTCCTCTTTCTCTCTCTCTTTTGCCCCCTCCCCCTACCTCTTTCTTTTTTGTTTCATTGAGACGGGGTCTTGCTATGTAGTTCATGCTGGCCTTGAACTCACTATGTAGCCCAGGCTGGCTTCAAACTCACAGCTATCCTCCTGCCTCAGGCTCCCAAGTGCTGGGACTATAGGTATGCACCGCTGCACCTTGCTGATGGAGTTTTTCCTCACCCTTCCTTTTCTGCCACAGCTCTACATCCTGAGCCAGGGTCAGTGCATCTTCAAGGGTGTGGTCACCAACCTGATCCCCTACCTTAAGGGGCTGGGATTACACTGCCCCACCTATCACAACCCAGCCGACTTCAGTGAGTAGGCCACTGGCAGGCCAGGATGTGGTAGGGGGATGGACCTGGGGCCTTTGGGGAGCAGGGAGCTCACTGCTACCTGCCCTCCCCACATGCCCAGGAGAGAAAGCAAGATCAGGCTTTGCTGAGCAACCACTCTGTGTTCCCCAGTCATTGAGGTGGCCTCTGGGGAGTATGGAGACCTGAACCCCATGCTGTTCAGAGCTGTGCAGAATGGGCTTTGTGCCATGGCTGAGAAGAAGAGCAGCCCTGAGAAGAACGAGGTCCCTGCCCCCTGCCTCACTTGCCCTCAGGTGAGTTGTTTGGACTAGGCAGAGTAAGAGAGGAAAGTAGGGACAAGGACGATGGCCCTGATGAAGGGGCTGTCCCCTAGAGCTGGGAAAAACATTAGACTTAGAACATACTGACCATGAACAGTTGTGTGACCTTGGGCATGCTGCTGACCTTGTGATTCAGTTTTCTTATCCACTCACTCAGCAAACTCTTATGACCAACTCTAGTGCACGGTCCACAGTACTTCAGGGTCACCTGGTGAGTGTGACCAGCATGCCTGCTGGCCTTGTAGCCAGTGTGGCTGCCTGTCACCTTTACCTGGGGAGTCACCCAGGGGTGTTGAGGGACTACTTAGATAATCACGGAAAGCTCTTCCCAGGCCACTGCAGCAGCAGGTGCTTGTCTAGTGCCAAGTCTCTTTAGATGAGATTGTCACCCTTGAAAACTGGGGTCTTGGTTAGTGTTCTTATTTTTTTTTTCCTCATTGAGTTTATTGGTACATTTTAGGTATACAGTACAGTTACATTCATCATTGGAATCTTGTACCTTTACGTTACAGTTCTTGATTCTCCTTAGTGTTCTTATTTTTGTTATTGATGTCATTATTAAATAATTTTGTGAGACAGTGGCCTAAGGATATCTGCCCTTTTTTTCCTCCAGTAGTGGAGATGGAAACCAGAACCTTTGCACTGAGCTACACTCCTAGCTCTTTTGAATTTTAAGACAGGGTCTCACTAAGTCACTAAACTGTCCAGGCTTAGCTCAAACTTGTAATCCTCCTGGCTCAGCCTCCTAGAGCACTGGAATTATAGGTATGGGCCACCATGCCTGGCCACACCTCCCCCACCCCAATACTGGGAATTGAACCCAGGGCCTTTGCACTGAGCAAAATCCCCAGCCCTTGAAAAAAAATTTTTTGAAAGAATTTCAAGACAAGGGCCGGGGATTTAGCATCTGCCTTGCAAGCACAAGGACCTGAGTTCGATCCCCGGTACCCCCCACAAAAAAAATTTCAAGACAAGGGCTCATTAAATTTCCCGATTGGACTGGAACTGATGATCCTTCTGCCTTAGCCTCCCAGGGTGCACCTCTTTCTCTCTCTCCCTCTCTCTCTGTCTCTCCCTCTCTGATTTGTACCCCAAAGCCCAGTTCTCGGGCATGTAGCTCACTCGGTGATGAAGAATTTTCCCTCTGCATCCTGGGCCCCTTGCCCTGGGAAGGGCTCAGGACTTTTTCCATTCATCCATCTGGGCGGGCAATAGGTGGGAGGGGTAGGCTCACCCGGCCCCATTTCCTCTCCCCAGGAAGTGGATCCCATTGAAAGTCACACCTTTGCCACCAGCACCCTCACCCAGTTCTGCATCCTCTTCAGGAGGACCTTCTTGTCCATCCTCAGGGACACGGTGAGGCATCAAGTTGGGGGACAAGAGGTGCAAGCCTGGCCTTTGGGGCTGTAGGGTCACAGCAGGTCGAATGGGAGCTGGGACCCTGCCCCACAGCCCTCTAGTGCTCTGGGTACATATCGGAGTTCCCACCCCTGTGTGGCCGCCCTGTGGCCCCTGGCCTGAGATACCCTGCTCCTCCTGGCCACCCCTCCCCAGGTCCTGACCCACTTGCGGTTTGTGTCCCACGTGCTGATCGGCGTGCTTATTGGTCTCCTGTACCTGCACATTGGCGACGATGCCAGCAAAGTCTTCAACAACACCGGCTGCCTCTTCTTCTCCATGCTGTTCCTCATGTTTGCTGCCCTCATGCCAACCGTGCTCACCTGTGAGCAGAGCTGTCTGGGTGCGGGTGTGGGCACTGGGTAAGAGGCAGGGGAAGGGGTCAGCCAGTAGCACCTCATCTGCCTGTGTCCTCAGTCCCCTTAGAGATGGCAGTCTTCATGCGGGAGCATCTCAACTACTGGTACAGCCTCAAAGCGTACTACCTGGCCAAGACCATGGCTGATGTGCCCTTTCAGGTGAGCTTCCTCCTCTGCCTGCCTTCTGCTCCCCCATCTTGCTCCCTCTCCTCAGCATTGCCACTTTCACCCTTTCCTTTTACTCACTTAGCAAATAGATATCGGCACCTACTGCTCATAGGCTCTTTGCTAGGCGCTAGGGATACAGCAGCAGACTAGACCGATACAAGAATTTTTGTTTTCTTGAGACAAGGTCTCACGATGTAGTTTAGGCTGGGCTTGAACTCACTGTGTCGCCCAGGCTGGCCTGGAATTTGTGTTAATCCTAGTGCTTTAGACTCCTAAGTGCTGGGATCACAGGTATGTGCCACCACACCTGGTTTAGACTGCTACAGTCTTGACCTTGTGGAATGTGTGTTTTAATGGAAACAACTGACAACAAGGACAATAATAGCCCTACAAATGATTACAAATCCTGTTACACTCAGAGGGTGTGCCTTAGTGTGCAGTGCTTGCCTGATGGGTGCAAGGTCCTGGGTTCAGTCCCCAGCACTGCTGAGAAAACAACAAAAAAAACTTACTAGAAGCAATAGACACCAGGGTAGGCTCTGAAGTTTTTCAGCAACTTGCAAGCTGCAAGAGGTTGAGCAAGTCAGCCTTGTTGCAGTGCCATCTATAACATGGAATGATAGCAGTATCTACCTCAGGGTTGTTTTTTATTTTATTTTATTTTTGAGACAGGGTCTTGCTTTGTAGTTCAGGCTAGTCCTGAACTCACTATGTAGCCCAGACTAGCCTCAAACTCATGGTGATCCTCCTGCCTCAGCCTCCTCAGGGTTGTTTACAAGAATTAAGTGAGTGAATACATATAAAGTTCGTGTGTGTGTGTGTGTGTGTGTGTGTGTGTGTGTGTGGTATTCAGGATTGAATCCAGAGCCTTCACACTGAGCTACATTCCCTGCCCATTTATTTTGTTTTTTTGAGTCAGGGTCCCACTATGTAGTTCAGGCTGGCCTCAAACTCACTATGTAGCCCATGCTGATCTTGAACTCGTGGTAATTCTCCTGCCTCAACTTCCGGAGTACTGGGATTATAGGCATCTGCCACCACATCTGGCTCCATTTTTTTAATTGTTTATTTTGAGAAAGGGTTTTACTAAATCACTACGTTGCCCAGACTGGGCTTGAATGTGCGATCCCCTTGCCTCAGCTTCCTAATGCTGAGATTATAGGTGTGTGCTACCATACCCAGTGATGTAAAACTCTTAGAATAGCACTTAAATGTACTGAGTGCCCAAGATATGTTAGCTGGTTTTGTTGTGATTGTCAATATTGCCTTGTTCCTAGCTTATTACAAAAATGTTTTCCTTCCTCAGGTGAGCAGTGCAGTGTGCCAGGGCATAGTACTTAGTGTGAGGAGCATAAGCTAGATCTTGGCTTCTGGGTACCTCTGGTTGGATTCCTTTGTGCAGGGACCAGTGAGTAGAACTGTTTATAGTGAATTCATTCCTGCCCAGAGATTGATAATCTTTTTTTTTAAAAAAAAAGTCTGGGCATGGTGAAGCACACCTGTAATGCCATTGCAGGTGAGGCTGAGGCGGGAGGATTATAAATTTGAACCCATCCTGGTCAATTTAGGGAGACCTTGTCTCAAAATAAAAACTAAAAAGGGCTGGGGATGTAGCTCAGCATGAAGGCTCTGGATTCGATCTCCAGTATTGCAAAACTAACTAAATAAATTAAAAAAATATTTTTGAGCTGGTTGGCAAAGTGCTTACCTAGCATGCATGAGGCCCTGGGTTTTGTCACCAGCACCACAAAAACAAATTCAGGCTGGGCATGGTAGCACATACTGTAATCCCAGTACTCAGGAGGCTGAGACAGGAGGATTGCTACCAGTTCGATGCCAGCCTGGGCTTCCTAGTGAGTTCAAGGCCAGTCTGAACTACATAGTGAGATGCTGTCTGAAACAAAACAAAAAACCCAAAACAAGTGCAATAAATCATGGTTTCCATTTAAGGTTTATAAAATGATGTTATGAATACATATAGATAGTAAAGTGAAGAAAATTAACATGTCTTTCAATGCTTAAGTTACTTTTTTTTTTTTGGTACCGGGGATCAAACTTGGGACCTTGTGCTTGTGAGGCAGGCAGTGCCACCACTGAGCTAAATCCCTGGCACTTAAGTTACATTTTTGTGATAAGGGCAACTAAGATGTCTAACAAAAGTTCCTGATACAAAGCCCAGTGTGGTGGTGCATGCCTGTAATCTCAGCACTCGGGAGGCTGAAGCAGGAGGATTGCTGTGAGTTGGAGACCAGCCTAGGCTACATAGTGAGTTCCAGGGCAGTGTGAACTACATAGTGAGACCCTGTCTCAAAAAACAAAAAACAAACAAAAACAAATCCTGATATAATGTAATTTTATTAACAATAGTCCTGGTGTTACATGTTAGCTCTCTAGAGTTGCTGGTCCTACATATCAGTTTCTTTGTATCTGCACAGCTGATAGTCTCAAGCGGAGAGAAAAAGGATTATGCTAGAGAGAATTAATTCATTAATGACGTAAAGAATAAGAAAGACTTTAAGTGCTCAGAGGAGGCCAGAGTGGGCCTCGTGGAAGAGGGACTCAGGAGGAGTGAGGCTCATAGGGTCACAGAGGAGGGGGATGTGTGTCAACCCTGGAGCAGCACCAACAGGAGTGCAGGCAGGGAAGGCCTGGGCTCCCCGGGAATAGGCATTTTAGTGGGTCGTTCCCAGGTGAGGGTCTTAGGCCTGTGTCCCTGATTCAGAGTCCCCTGCCCGCTGTGTGCCTGCCCTGCCAGGTGGTGTGCCCAGTGGCGTACTGCAGCATTGTGTACTGGATGACAGGCCAGCCAGCCGAGACCAGCCGGTTCCTGCTCTTCTCAGCCCTGGCCACTGCCACTGCCTTAGTGGCCCAGTCTTTGGGACTGTTGATTGGAGCCGCATCCAACTCCCTACAGGTGGGAAGGTTGGCGTGGAGGATTCACAAGAAGGGCTGGGTCTTACGGGAGAAATAGGCACTGGTATCAGGTGTGGGGTGGTCTTCTGGGAAACCCTGGGGCCATGCTAGTCCTGGTCACCCCTGTGATGGCCTGGCCCCTGCCTTCCTTCCAGGTGGCTACTTTTGTGGGCCCGGTAACTGCCATCCCTGTCCTTTTGTTCTCTGGATTCTTTGTCAGCTTCAAGACCATCCCCACGTACCTGCAGTGGAGCTCTTACCTCTCCTATGTCAGGTGGGTGCTTCTTCCCTCCAGCCTGCCCCTCTCTCTCCCCCACGAGTCCCTACCCAGGGCTTCCTGGGATGTACCAGGTCTGGTGCCATCACCCTTTGGGCAGGGATCTCCTGGCTGGCCTGCAGAGATGAGGATGATGTAGCTGGGCTCTGGTGATTTGCTGAGGGGACAGGGACCCAGCACTCTGTGTCTTGCTCTGATGCCCCTGCTTACCTAGGTATGGCTTTGAGGGTGTGATCCTGACCATCTACGGCATGGAGCGCAAGCAGCTGTCATGCTTAGAGGAATCCTGCCAGTTCCAGGACCCAAGGAGCATCCTGCAAGCACTGGATGTGGAGGATGCCAAGCTCTACATGGACTTCCTGGTCTTGGGCATCTTCTTCCTGGCCCTTCGGCTGCTGGCATACCTTGTGCTCCGTTACCGGGTCAAGTCTGAGAGATAGAGCCTTGCCCTGGCCTTGCCCAGTCCCCGCAGCAGAAAACCTTCAGCCTCAGCCCTCTGGGACTGTTTTAACCGTGTAGACTTGGGCAGTGGTGGCTGGTGCAGTGCCCTCCCCTCCCTTTGAATGCTCCAGACTGGCTGTTGGACTGCTCCACCAGCTGCCAGCTGCCAGCCGCCAGCCGTGGCCATGGTGTGGGGACTCCAGGACACCCACCATGCCCAGGAGCCTTCCCAAGTTGATGCAGTTCGTAGCTTCCTCCCTTCTCTTTTCACCACCTGCATGCAAAGACCACTGGGAGGCTGCCACCCTCCTTCCTGTCCTTGGCACCCTCCTCTGTTGTCTGCCTGGGAGCCATAGAATCTCTGGGCTCCCACTTACAACTGACCAAAGTGGCCCTCTCTGGGGGTCCCCACGACACCAGTGTTTGTAAAGCAGGCTGCTGTAAGGTTGGAGTTCCAGGGCTGGACCCTGGTGGGGTCCCCTGGGAGTGTGAACCTGGATGTTGTGACGGAGCACAGAGGGGCTCTGGAAGTCTCTTCTTCCTCCTAGCTCTCTCCCACTCCCAGACCCTGGCTGATGTGGACAATCTGCTGGGACAGAAGCTGGATTTTCTGTCTGGGTCACCACTCCCGATCCTGGAGATTGGAGAGGCCATGGGTGTCCTGTTCCCTTTGGTTGGGGGCAGGACTGGAGGCATTCTGCAATACTGTAATTCTCTCCCATTGGCCACTGCATCTGGAGAACGCACTTTATTTTGGAGAGGGGTATTCCTCCCTTCTTGCTCCTGACACATGGTTCCACACACTCCCTCCCCTGTCAAAGTTATGGGCATGTACATGCGAGCAGGCAATCTCAGGCCCCCACAGGCTCCACCCTGATGGCTCACAGGAAGAGTGGAGGTGGCATGGCTGTGGTGGCAGTGGGTGCTGTGGAGGGCAGCACTGACCTCTTCCTGGGGATCCCATGTTGGAAACTCTAAGGATGGGGCTGGTGTTGCCCAGGGAGGCTCCAGGATCTGGAGGTGTCTACCCCTCAGTCTTCCTTCCAAGCCTGGGGTTGGCACTGGCACAAGCCTCCTGGAGTCATTCAGGAGCCAACAAGCACAAGCAGGGGCGTAAGTTGGCCTTGACTCTCACCACCGCACAGCCCTCCTTTTATGCTCTAAGATGACTTTCTCACTCTCCTACCCCTTGCCCAGCTGCCTGCCCTCCCCATCAGTGGGTGGCCAGTAGGCATCAGAAAAAAAGCCTTGGGCACCTAGGTGGCAGACGTACCTATAGCATGTCTGACTCTCCTGGTGGGCCTGGGATCATTTCGTTTTCCCCTTCCCAAGGCTTTCCCCTTACTTCTATACACACATCTCTACCTGTTCCCTGACCTTCCATCCACAGAGATGCCAGTTGTCTTGGTGGGATTTCACCCATTATTAATAAAACTATATTTATACAGTACATAGTGTGTGAGTGTGTGGGTCTGCTGCCTAGTACCACAGGCTGTGAGGGGGGCTTCAAATCTCTTGGCAAGAGGCCTGTGAACTTCAGCAAGCCTGAGGCAGGCGATGGTAAGTCCTAGGTCAATCAAGTTAGCCAATGTGGGTCTAATGAAATGTTTGCATCATGCTGCCCCCCGCAATGCTTCATGGCTATCATCTCAAAGGTGGAGGTCCATGCTGGCCTTGCACTGCACCTCTTGACAAACTATCATCGCATTGTGTGGAAGAGAGGACTGAGACTTGGGTTATGAAATCTGCTAAGCAGATAAGGCTGGGAATTTAGCTTAGTGGTTCCACTGCCTGTCTTATAAGCACCACATCCCAAGTTCAATCCCTGGTACAAAAAAAAAAAAAAAAAAACCTACTGAGAGCCCTCCACCAGTGGGGATAGAGCCTCCCTCTCCTGTGCTTGGCGTTGGTTGGTTCCCCTGTTCATGGTGGGTTCTCGTGCTGCCTGTGGTGTCCCCTGTCTGTGGCAGGGTGTGTTCTTACTTGAGTGATATATGAAGGTGTCTTCAGTTCTTGCAGGGGAGGGAGTGTCTCTGTGGACACAAAGGGAACCCCATCCTGGGATGTGAGTGGCGTGGACCTTACTGGGCTTACTCTGCTTTTTCTCCTTTTCTTCCTTACTTTTTTCCTACCAGGCCACACTTCATAGGGCTGAGTCATTATCTACCAGGATTGCACACCATGGGTTTGGAGTAGGCAAGTATCCAGAGGGGCTGGAGAACAGGAAGCAGGATGGTCTGAGAAGCAGCACATTGTCACTTCTAGGCCTGAAGCTTGGGGATTGAAGGGAGGGAGGGACTGGCACCTGTCCTGCCACCTGCCTGGAACACCCTACATGTGCCATATGTAGAGAAAGTGCTCTGGGCTAGACTAGGGTTTAGTTAATGACAGGCAAGTGCTTGGCTAGAGATGGACAAACTTTGTTTCTTGTGGGAGTTTGGGCTGAGAGTAGGAAATGGGAAGAAGTCTAAGTCTTAGTTCTGGAATTCTAGCTAGCTTTAGGGAGAATTTGAGAACCCCCTTTTCCCTGGAGTGATGCCAGTAAGATGGCTTTTTTTTTTTTGGTACCAGGGATTGAACTCAGGTCCTTGTGCTTGCAAGGCAGGTAGCAGCACCACTGAGCTAAATCCCTGTCCAAGGGGTCTTTGTTTTGAGACAGAGTTTCAGTATATAGTTCAGTCTGGCCTTGAACTCACTATGTGGTCAAAGTTGGCTTTGAGCTCACTGTGATCTTCCTGACTCCCTGACCCAGAGTGCCGAGATTACAGGTGTGCACCACCATGCCTGGCTCAGTAGATGGCTCCTTACAAGTCAAAGGGCATAGAAGACCATCAACTATTCTTTCTGAAGTCTTCATCGTTACTCCTTTTTTTATCTTTCTGGCACTGGGGATTGAACTCAGGACCTTTCACTTGCAAGGCAGGCACAGAGCCAATGAGCTAAATCTCCAGCCCATCTTTACTTTTTAAAAAAATTCAGATACTTGAGGAAGGAAAATCAGGACTGAGTTCAAGGCCAGACGGTCTCAAATAGACAGATAATCAGTCACAAAACTCTAATAAAACAAACAAAACCCCTAGAAAAATCCAAACAAACAAGCCAGGTATGATGGTGCATTCTTGTAATTTCAGCTACTCTGGAGACTGAAACAGAAGGCCCACAAGTTCGAAGCTAGCCTGGGTAACAGCAAGAACTTATCTCCAAATAAAAATTGAAAAATGAGGACCAGGGATGTAGCTCAGTACTGTCGTGCCTGCCGCACAAGTGCAAAGTCCTAAGTTCGATTCCTAATACCAAAATAAATAAATAAATAAATAAATAAATAAATAAATAAATAAATTTTGAAAAATGAGCTGGGGATGTAGCTCAGCAGTAGCATGCCCCTGGGTTCCATCTCCAGTAACACATACACACATATATGCACACACAAACACACACACACACACACACACACACACACCCCAAGCAAAAATTGCAAATACTCCTGAAAGTGTTAACCATTTACAAAGTCATGCAATTGTTTCCTCAGGAGGTAAAAAGGCAAATAGCTGTTGTGGAGCCACCAAGAGTCCTTCTGGCACAGAAAATATTTGTGAAGTGCTTCACATATTTGCAAAGAAAACGTTTATGATTCCCATAGCAACCCCAAGAGGCAGCTAGGAGGCTGAGGCAGGAGAATCACCATGATATTATTACTTCTTCGTTTTGATATAGGAAAAATAACTTCCTCTGTCATACCACCCTGCCTTGGAGTCAGCCAAATGTGCTAAGTCTGTGGTCTCTCAAGATCAAGGAGTGAAGTTGCAAACCAAAGAAGAAAGTTAGGAGACCTTTATTGGAAATAAGGGGAAGAAGAATAGCTCCTAGATTTCCAGAAGGGGTCCTGGGTAGTCACTGGAGCCCTTTGTCAGAGGTAACTTATACAGCAGAATCACAATGTGGGTACAACATGGATTAGACTACAATCAACCTATAGGATTACAAGTATAGTCACCTAGTTGATATTGATCCAATAGGAAAATGAGTCACATAGCAGGATACATGGAAAGAACAAAGGAATTTTGGGGAAGGGAAGTGTTATGGCTTATATCTAGAGGTCCACCCAAAGCCTCATGTGCTCATAAGTGGGGCTTTTCAGAGGTGGCTGGATCTAGAATGTGTGTATATGGATTAAGGGTGTGTGATAACTAATAGTCCATTGTTGGCTTAGCATAGGTCTGGGTGTGGATAATGGAAAGGCCCATCCTGGGTGTAAGTGGTGCCAACCAATAGGCTTTTAGCATAGGTGGAATAAAAGGGGAAGGAAGGCTCCCTGCTGGTACTGCTTCCTGTCTGCCCTGCCTGTGACAGTTTCTCCTCTACCATGCCACCCTGCCTTGGAGACAGCTGACTACAACTGAAACCTCTATGAACTGTGAGCTAAAAGAACCCTTTCCTGCCAGCTGCTCAGGGAGCTGGCTGCTCTCCCAACTCCAATGTCATGGGCCTTCATTGGAGCAGACCAGTGAGAACGACCCAGCTGCACAGGCACTTGTGCAGCATCCCCCCACCCCACCCTGGTGCTTTCAGGCCCCCTGCTTGTGCCAATACCTGGAATGACCCGGCAGAGGCACAGGTGGTCATAGAGGCTATTTTACTGAGCTCCAGACCATAGCATGGAAATGAACAACTGCAATAAAGGTACACCAGACCTCAGTAGTTGGTAAGTTGGAGAGATCACCACCTTGCATCAGAACCTGGGCTATCTTTAGGGGAAGGTCATCTGGAACCTGCAGTAGAACCTTGCAAAGTTCAATCCTGTAGGAAGTCAGGGAGCTCAACTTGGGCCTTGAAGCCAGAATTCAGCCTGAATCTCAGGGGTCTGTTGTTAGCTAGCTTAGACTAATCGACTTAGTTCTACACATTGCTGCCCACATTGTCTATTGTGACAGCAGAGATATATCCTGAAAGAGGCTCTTCAAATTTTTTTCTTTCTTTTCCTCTTATTTTCAATTTTTTTGCGGGGGAGGTTTGAGACAGGGTCTCACTATGTAGTTGAGACTGACCTGGAACTCACTATGTAGCCCAGGCTGGCCTTGAACATACAGTGATCCTCCTGCCTCAGCCTCCCAAGTGCTGGGATTACAGGCATGCACCACCATGCCCGGCTTATTTTTAATTTTTAAAAAATTATTTTTCCCATTCTACAAATTCTTCCTTTTTTCCCTTCTTTTTCCCACTCAGCCTCTTGCTCCCCCAAATTATTCTTCATCTCCCTTTTTGTTCCTATTCCTGCCCCAATTCAGATTTCTTTCTTTTTCTTTTCTTCTCTCTTTTACTTCACTTGATTGTCATTAATTTCAAAGAAAAGTGAGTACAATTTATAGCTTCCCTATTACTGTTAAGTTGTTCTTTTCTTGTCTTTGTTCTTGCACTCTTTCTTTCCCCCTTGTCTTCAACACTTTCCTAGAGCTTGTGTGATCATCCTGTGTCCTCTGGCTTCACTTGAAACCTTCTCCTATTCTTCTATCTATCTATTCCTCTCCTTTCAACTCCTTCTAAGTCCCCATTCTGAAGAGTAAAGTTGCTATATTGAAGAGTTTATTCACTATAAACATATTTTGGGCTGGTTCTGGATTTTAATTCACATGGTTAAAGGTGATAGATTAATAACTACCACAGGGCTGGGGATTTAGCTCAGTAGTTCCAGTGCCTACTTCACAAGTGCAAGGACCTGAGTTTGAACCCTGGTACAAAAAACAAAACAAAACAAACAAACAAAAAAACAAACTTCCA